TATTTCTATTGGTTTAGACCTTTTGCAAATGAGTATAAAAACAGAAAAATGCATTTTTTTTTAACCAAATATTAAATCAAATTTTTATTTATAACAAGTGTATATGCTACATACTTATTACGTATATTATCATTATATTAAAGGACTTATATTTTTCCAGTAAATTATTTACTATCATATACAAGTACCTATATATATATAATATATGCTTTATACATATTTTTATTTTATTTATATATTACTATTATATTTAAGATTTAATTTCATATAATATAGTTATATATAATAAGATTAATAACTAATAAATATTTTAACAGGCTTTATACATAATTCACATTAAAAATAGGTAGGTATGTACTACGTATAATATTATACATATTTTTTTGCTTTTTCACGGTGATCATCATACCATACAATATTAATATGACACAATAAAATATGTACACTAATATTTTTAAATCTGCAGTTACATTACGAAGAAGTTTTTTTTGACAAAAGCTTAGTATATACCTACATAAACGGGTTTTACATTCTTGAACAACAACAATGACTATAAAGTTAACGAAATGACTTAAATATGTTTAACATCGTTGAAACCTAATAGAACCCACCGTATTAACTATCAATACATCAATATTTAGAAATAAAATTTCAAATGAATTAATAAGTTTCAAGTAGGTTTTTAAAATTTATATGAAGGGAAGAAAATCTTCTGTGTACCCATAAGCCAATTTACTTTTTAACTCATCAACCAATCAGATAATCAGAATAAAACACTCGTAAATTTTGATATATAGAAAACTATTCTGCTCCAAAATATGATATTAAATAACGTATTCGATAAAAAAATAAAACTTAAAAAACTATAATAATAATGGTTTCATCTATAAAAGGATCAGTGTACCTATATATTATAGGATATTGCGTGTTGGGTGTGATCCTGTAAGACGACGGAGACAGAATATGAGACGCTATAACATCCTTACATCTATATCATATAAAAAACACTAAATTATGATTTAGAGCAATAGAGGTATTACGTATATTATATAATTGTATACAGTAAATATTAAATAGGCATGCGTAGAAAATACTAGAAATATGATCACGGGAGTTTAGAAATTCGTATCTGCGAGACCAAGTAAACACGTATATAGTTATTATTTCCACGTACAAGTTAAAAACAGTAGCTTATCGTGTTATTAATAATTGTTTTATCTCTGTTTTCACATCTATACTCAAACACCGCAACGGCCGGGTGTGTAAGGTACTGCGGCAATGACGATTATATGTTATTATATATTATTGGTTCACGGACCGTTTTTTATACCAAAATACATAATCTTATACGAAACTGAACAGTATTATATACCTACCAGTGCATACCTATACATTAAATAATATAAATATATATATATATATACCTATACACACCGTTTATAATATATAATAAAGCGTTTTTTGAGATATATATATATAATTATATAATAATATATAATATAACTGTGTGTGTATATAATTATACACCGTGACTTGCCGGAACAACGTTGGAAATAAAACATGCACACAAAGGAATTATCGATAGAGTAGACAAAATTAACGCATAAAATGTATCACATATTATATTATACATACTAAGCAGCATTAAGCCACTAAAACCTCATACAACATTATATACCTATATTTCGTATTATATTTATAGATTTAGCTGGTTGTAGCTGACACAGGTTGTGTTGCAAGTCCATTGCAACAGCGCTCGGAAAAGAAACAAGTCGTCTCTGGTTGAATAGGCATCAACTTTAAGACATCTACTAACCTACCTATATAGATATTGTAGTATATTAAATCGTATTATTCGCGGGTAAGGCAACTGACGTGGGTCGTCAATATATTATGTAGATTATTATACATTTATATAAACATTTTATACTGACAAAACATGGATAGGTAATAGACATATCATAGAAATATTAATAGTGATTATGAAAAAAAATACATCAATGATGCTATCTTACGCACGATTAACACATTTTAATTTTTTAACCAACTTGTTGTTATCTTTTTCCCAGTAACTTTAAACGCCCTTTCCAAAATATTTTCCAGAATCTCAGCCTTGTGATATATCAATACACTGTCGTCCAATTAAGTATTATATAGAAAAATATCAATAATTTTATAAATATAATGACTAATAAGTATATAATATAATAAGTCAATCGATAGACAAATAATAAAATTAATTCAAAAAATAAAAAATGTTATCATTAGCCAGGAATCGAACTACAAAATTTTATTTACCTGTTGATTAAAAACCGATTTATTTCACATATAAAGAAACGGATTAAATAACCATTATTCACTTACTAAAACGTATTAACGAGATGTATAAAAAAATACGAATATAAAATGGCTTTTAATCTAATTTGCCAGCGGCAATTTCCCCTTTAACTACAGTTAGTTTCAGAGGATTTAGCTTTCAGAGAACTTATTTACTCAACACATCGTCTTAGATCAACCACGCCAATACAGTCTGTTCAAGTGATTTAGCTATTTTCTTAAATAATGTAACATGTTTAGTTTATTACCGCTATAACGAAATAAATAAACAGCTAACTATAATTAAACTATAATGTATATTATGATAATCTAAAACGTAATAATTTGCTAAATCAATAATATATAATACGTACATAATACTATGCACAAATCTATTTAAGAGGTAAAAATGCAATTTCTCAATACTTTTCAAAAGAATTAAGAAAAATAAAAATTTTTAAGCAAAGCCGTTCTTAACAAAATCAATTATAGTTTTTTCATTAAAATTTAAAAATAAATTACTGTAGACTTGATGAAAATTATTTTGTTTTTTAGTAAAAAAAAAAAAAAAAATAATAATAATTTAATATAAAATAAAGTTTCCATATTTTTTATATGCATTTTAAATTCAAATTTTTACAAGACACATCAAAATTACGAAAGTTTACAATTTAAATTTAAAATTTTTATATCTAATGACTTGTAAATTTAGTATTAAATTATAAATATTTTTTAAGCACAGTTTAAGTTTTAATTTTGACAACAATAAATTTTCCAATATAGACTAATAATGTATGTAGGATATCGATTTCTTGCAATTCCAATAATCTATGCTAACTTTAAAAATTTAAACGATTGTATTGTATATAACATATAATCTATTATAAGTGTATTATATTGTAATATCATTATATTATAAAATTATTACATTTTCAGAAAAAAATATTATCATTGAAATTTTAAAAGTATATGATCGATTGGTTCGAATACTATGGTTGCCACCAGTGACATAGCACCTGTTATACCGCAAATGTATAATATATAACTATCGATATGTCATTACATCACGACTATGATGTATACGTCCTAATTCTATTTTATGACGCGAGTGATATGGAATGTGGACAAAGCGTTAAAGTTACGGTACTTGTATATATATTTTATCATTTTATTGAATATATTAATGTATAATATATATTTATGGCCTGAAACGGCTGAAACTTGATATGCGTTTGAAAATATTTAATACTTAATTCTCAAAGGGTAGATGGCTAAATTAACTACACTGTGTATTTAGTCTACAGAGTTTTTTACTTATAAGTAACAATAATTGTTGTCAAATAAATTATACACACATAATACAATTTACAATTTTGAATTAAAGATCAATTAGGCCCTAGAACATATTAGACACTTAGTGAGCCACCTTAAACATTCAAACTTCAACTCTGTCACTTCAAACAATTTTTTTTTTACCCACAAATTTTTACATACATACAAAAATTTTAATTTAAGGTTTTCAACTGTAACAAAATAATTAATATTGTTATTTATCGTTTAAATAAGTGCCAAGTTTTAACTTAAAATATCTTTAAAAATAATTGCTCTTTTATATATTTTAAATCTTATAGTTTTAATATGAAATACTTATGAGGAATTTTGATTCAATTTTTAAAAATTTTGATCAATCAAATATTTTTATCAACAATAATTATGGAAAAAAATTTTAAGAAATTGAAAATTTGTTTTGCCTACAAATAACTCAGAGTTTTGTTTGTAAAATTTATGATTCAATAGAAATAATAAAATAAACGTTTGGTGAAAATCTCAATTTTCTACTATTATTTTTTCTTAAAATGTAAAAAAATATCTGAAATTGTTATTTAACAAACAATATTCTATGTCATAAAAATTTAAATTTTAAACCCTCGTAGAAAATTATTTTGGCTTTTCAGTAATTTTTTTTTTTATATGGGTTGAAAAACTTATAAATATTTTTGTGTTAAATGTTCTAACCTGAGTATAAAAATAAAAATGTTTATGAATTTGAACAATAAAATAATTTGTAAATTTTAAAAATTTTAATGAATTTTATCAAAATTCTTAACTTTTAACTTTATAAAAATGTTATGACTATAGATTTCTTATGTTTTTTAATTGAGAAATTAACAACTCATGATGAGCTTATACATCATAGTATTTGACAATATTTGAATAGTTAAATTGCCATTATTCACTATCGGCACTATCATATAATAATGTTAATTTTCAACTCACAATAAACATATTATGATACTAGGACAAATTATTACTTGCTACTGAAATAAATTTAACGTCAACAGAATTGAAATTTTAATCTTCAGAAAACCTTTCAGGCCAATATAGAATCACTTCAAATTTAATGCGATTATCAATCATTTAAAATTAAATAGTTATGAATAATATTTGTTAATTATTATTATTATTATTATACAAAACTTAAAAATGTATTGTACAATGTAATGATTTAGACACAAAATTATAATTTTTGCTCAACCATCTAGATTTTTTTAGCTTGTTTTGTAAAACATATAATGGGTCTAAATATCTAGTCTTAATCAAGACTTGACCCAAGTCATTACTATGATAGTATGATATCATATTGGTTATAACCAACACTTAAATAATATTAATTCAATAAATACCTGATGGTTTTAAGGCTTTGATAGCAAATGGAACAACTAGATGTGGATGAGGTAAATCTAAAAATACAGCATCAGCTTTACCAGTAACATCATCACAAAACCCATTTTGGCAAACATCTCTATGAATACAACATCATTATTTAATTACAACCAATTAACCAAATCTTCAACTATCAAAACATTACACTCAAAATCAATTAAAATTACCTGCATTGACTGGTGACATTTTCAGACAAACCATGAGATTTAAATTCTTTTTGTGCCTGATCTGCCCTTTGTTCATGAAAATCGTAAGTATAAATGTGTCCAGTAGGTTTTACTCTTAAGGCCATAGCATGAGTCAATGATCCACTTCCAGTACCTAAAATTGATACATTGCATAAAGCATAGACACGTGACACATAGGATAAATTAAAACAATATAACAAATTATGTTATATAAAATAACAATATTACATTACCTGACTCAACCACTATGCTACCGGGCTTAAGTTCTAACATGAACATAATTAGACTTATGTCTGGTGTATATATAATCTGAGTTCTGTGAGGTAATGTCTGTGTCCAAAGTTCAGGTGTGGGATACAAAACATGAGCCCATCCATTGGACAAACTCACTTTTGATCCAAACGGTTTTCCGAATAATGATGAAATTTTCAATGCTCCATACTTAGTCTGCATAACATTCTCAACCTTCTCTCCTTTACGATTTTCAATTACTGACTGGGCTTGTATAGCGTACATTGCTTGTGGATTTATATACAATATGACCGTGTCACCTTCTTCAATAATGTCTTTGTAACGGTTAAAACTCATTTCTAATAAAAAAAAAAAATCATTAATTAATTTTTCTTCAGTACAAACATATTAGTACATTATTTATTATAAATATGTTTAACTTAAGTAACCAACTTACTGTGCTAACAAATTTCTTTTGTTAATTTTTGTCAATATTTTAAATTAAGATATTTATTTGATATCTACTGAAATCGCCTGGATTTTTCACCAACTGAAAGCGTTATCTAACTATTCAGACGTAACATACGAGAAGTGTAAATACTGTAAACGATCAAGTAAAATAATAAGTAAGCTAAATTTATTACTAAATTATAAATATAATGAATTTTAATAACATTAATTCTGTTAATTTTTAAAAATTCGTTGTGCCGATTGTTCTTATCACTATTATCAAAATAGTGTTATCATTAAAACACCAAACGTCATTAGCACGTTTTTCATGATCACAATTTAAGATAATAGGTACTCGTCAAAAGCCAAGGCGTGTTGAAGCAGCATTATAATATTATTCATAACGTAATGTATGTTGTATTTAGTATTTACTTACGGTTAAAAATTAAAAATTTACTGACTACTATTTTAACTAATAACAGGTGTACCGACGTACCGTGTAGGTACTTTATTTAATGCCAAAATGTTCCTTATTTTTAGTCTCGTATCTTCATGTTGATTTTTATTATGATGTGTTGAAAGGATAATTTTTTTTTTCTAATGTCATCCAGTTATAAATTATAATTCCTTAAAATGCTTATTGCTCTGTATGTAATGGTCACCCCTACTTCTAGTAAGTTACGATTACTGTATTTTTTTTAAACTATAGATTAAGTATAATATTTTCTACTACAATTTTATTAAAGTAGGTAATCTATAAATATAATGCATCTTATGCATCTTTATTATAAGTTAATGCCTTAATGGTCGTTCCTGCTATTATTATAATACTTATGTATTGTTGGTACATTTATATATACTTATTACTGTATTATATCTATAGGTACTTTGATTCCTACACTTTTTATTATTATCGGTTAAAAAAATATATATATATTTCTATACATTAGTGACATTAGGATCTACAATTAATCTAAAACCTAAATTAACTTAAAACACTATAGTTTATGTAAAAAGAATGGTTATGAATAATTATTAGTAGGCACATATATTATGATTACGCACTTGTGTTTACCTTGGTTTGAACGTAGAATTTCAAATTTGGTTCTATAATTACACAATTAATAATCCATTAAATCGTCGATCGTGTATTAAAATGTATGAGCGTTCAACTACATTTGAATAATCATCTAACACAAAAAGATTTTTGCATAATTTTACGGTAATTCACGATTTAATTCGCCAAAAATCAAATTTTTCGTCGATATTATCCACTTACTATTTACTAATTAATAATTAGGTTTACGGTTATACCTATACTATTAATAAACCGTTCGGGCAAATGACTATCGCTTTGCAAATTGCAATACAGTACGGTTGGCGGTTGGTATATTGGTATGTAGTTGGTCACCATTAAAATGAGTTAAATTTGAATTTAATGGTGTGTTGCTGACTATTACACACGAAAAACGATTCTGAGTAGAGACAGCCTATCAGCCTATAATCTGTATAATTCAATAAATTCCATGTTTTTTAACATTGCTATTTAAGTAGGTAATTTATTTTACAATTAGTATAACGATTAGTTAGTATAGGTTAATAATATAATATATTAATATATTATATTATTATATCTTTTAAGTCAATGTCTCAGACCTCAGTACATTTTATCATATGTATATACCTAGTGAAAATTTTAAATAACTAATTATTTTTTTTTTTTTTAAATACAACTTTAAAAATTGTTTAAGGAGAAATAATTATTTTAGTTTGGTACAGGTGAATATTCAATATCAGCATATCGTAAAAATATGAATTTCAAGTAGATATTGATAAAAATTGGTTCGACTTTCAGTAGAATGTTTTGACTTATATAAAGTTTGAAAATCTTTTAAAAAAACCTAGATTAATTTTTAAAATTTTGGAAATAAAAAGGAAAATATTCTTTACTACAAAATTAATTATTAATTTTCACGATTTTTATGAATTTTATCAAAATTCTAATATTAAATGCTAATCATTAATAATGACGCATCCGCCCAATCGTAATTTTATTCTTCCAAATTACATCGTTCATTTGTCTCGCGCGTTGAAATGGCGTAGTTGGTAGGTACCTATATATTCCCTATAATATACTATTAGGTACTGAAATTTAATTTTTTATGTCTAATGCAATTTTCAAAATAGGTATTGAAAAACACGAGCACATTGTTTTTTATGAAATTTTTAAGTTTAAAAAATTTAACATCACCTAATTACAAAAATCTAATAAATTACACTTAATATACAGTTGTTAATTGTTATGTATAATCGTAAATAATTACAAGACTAATTTGCTTAATAATATTTATACCTAATATATGTAGATATGTAGTGTATAATCAGGCACTTTAATACCTTCTCTCCTATACTTGGATTATAAAAAGTCCTTAACTAGGTACTGAATTTCAGGAAATAAAAAAAAACAAATAATTTAAGTTTTGAATAAACCAAAAAAATTAAATTTTATTAAAATAAAATATTTGTTTTCATTTTTCAAGTAAACAATAATATAGTTATATATTTAAGTATACTGTATAGACTACCGTACAACAAAATAATGGATAGTTTATGAATACTTACAAAGTTACGTTTGTTTTTGTCTTTCTAAATGACATTAATACAATACTTTAAATGTTTAACAAAATTATTTTAAAAATCTGTATGTTAAACAACAAATATACAATATAATTATTATGGCAACAATTTAACTCTGTTTAAAATTTCGATTGAGCAAACAATTTTTAAACATATGATGAGAGGTAACTCAATTATAATATCCTTATGTTAACATACATAAAAAAAAAAACTTAAAACTATAAGACAATTAGCTGATAAATCATATTTTTAAAATAATACATAGTTTGATTAGATAGTATTAAAATTTAAAATATAAAATTAACTATTAATTTAAACACAAAGAAAATAAATACTTGTTTTTTTTTTAAACAAAACAAAGTTAAAACAACTTTTATCTGTTCAAATATTTTATGATACCTGACAATAATGTACCGATATAAATCAAAATTAAAATAATACACATGGAAGACATTTGATTTTAGGTACTAGTTTCAAAAAGTAAAACTTTAAATAAAACAGTGATAATTTTTTTGTAATAATTTGGTATTTTCAATACAATAGAACCCTAATAACCATTATATTATTACGATTTTAAAATTATAAACTACCCTGCACATAATACGCTTAAATCTTAAAAAAAAAAAAAAAAAAAAAATAGATTTGTAAAGATAATATTATGTGAAGTATGACAATTAAAATTCTTTTAAAACTAAGATTTTAACATTAACGCACTGTATTAAAAATAATAATTGTTTTTTGTTTTTGTTATATATAATATATATATAATATCCAATATGTAAAACATTAACCTTTTAGCATAATGAAATATAATAAAGATCATAAAAATATTAAAGTTCAACATAATATAAACTGTACATATTATGAAATAAATCAAAATATTAATACCATCATGGAGATTTAAATTTATAAATTACAACACTTCCAAGAAATTTTATCAAAAATATACCTTGAGACCCTTTTTATAAATACTTGTGTTGTGTGTTGTATAACAATAATTTATTCTATATAATATAATAAAGAATATTAAAATATAAGATAATAAAATTATCAATAATTAATGAGTCAAATTCTAGTTGATCAGAATTAGTAACTCTGTTACAATTAAAAAATAAAAAATCAATTATAGTTTGAAATTGTCTTTTACCTAACATAAATATTCATTTTTATTATCTACTACTAATAGGAATATGATTTTATTACTTTTTTTTCTCTAATATGTTTAAATTAGAGTTTTATAAAATCTTTGAAATTTTCGTAATCAGAATCAGATGCAAATATTTTTGACAGCTGACTAAAAGTCGGACGTTCCTTGGGATCATACGCCCAACACATCTCCATTGTTTTATAAACTTCAACTGGACACCTTTGAGTTCTTTGTAATCTTTCTCCTTTTTCCAAAATACCAATTACTTCAACACCTTTCATGTTTTCATAAGGTTGCTGTCCATAAGAAAACATTTCCCATAATGTAATACCATAGCTCCACACATCACTAGCACTAGAAAACGTTCCATAATTGCATGATTCAGGGGCATACCACTTAATTGGCCATCGTCCACCATGTGAAGCTCTATAATAATCCTTATCAACATTTAATGTACGTGAAAGACCAAAATCGCTAATTTTAGCTTGATGTCTATCCGCTAATAGAATGTTTCTAGCTGCCAAATCTCTGTGTACGAAACGTTTTTGTTCTAAGTAACACATACCAGAAGCTATCTGAGCTGCCCACATTTTTAACTCATAATTTGGACTAATGAGTTCAGGGTGTGTGATAATGTAAGTCAACATAGAACCAAGAGCAATGAGCTCTTGAACCATCAACAATGGTGGGCCTTCACATATACCAATCAATCTAATAATACATTCATGATTTAAACTCATCATGACATGAGCTTCACGTAAAAATTCTGATTTGTTAGTTGAAGACATGTCATATCGCAGCATTTTTATGGCTACTTTTTCTTCAAATCCGTCTCGATTTTGAAATGTTCCTTTGTAAACTGAACCAAATTCACCTTCGCCAATTACCTCATCTAAAATCAAATTGTCTCTCATGATATTGTCTTGAAATTCAGTTTGAATTTTTGGTTTTGGCTTTTTTAACGTAAACGGAAATCCTTTAGGTAGGGGTGGAATAACTGCTGGACTCACAGGCACTTCTAATTTGTTCGGTAAACCATCAGGAAATAATGTATAATGTTGTATTAGATGTTCTAACGAATTCAAGTATGGCCCATTGTCAATAAAATAATATTTATCTCGATCTTGGATCTGGAAATGATAACATTGATTAGTACACATCATAGATAAGACGTAGTCGTTCTTCCTATTCATTCTGACTAAAAAACAACCGTCAACATCTTTTGTTTTCAATATTTCTGTGGCTTCATTTCGATCAAGCTTGCCATGATACCATTGATCTTTCTTTGAAGTAGGCGTAGGAGCAACAAACTCATTCAACATTCGTTCAACTTCGGTATGTCCATTGGTATGGGCTAGGTCTGCAGGTAGAAGATCATTAAAAGTGCGCGGCCTCGATGGTGCATTCATGGACAACAACAAAGACACAATATCTGCATGACCTCGACTTGATGCTTCGTGCAGAGCTACCCATCCAGTTGATGAATTTCTCAGTTGAATATTCGCTCCACCAATTGTCAATAAGATTTTCACAGTACTCAACAAATTATTCTGACAAGCGAAATGTAAAGGTGTATAGCCTTCTGTATCTCTACAATTCACGTTGGCTCCACATGAAATGAGTTTCTCTACAATTTGATCATGACCCATCTGACTAGCTAAATGCAATGCAGTTTGTCCTTCTTGGTTTTTTGCTTCTAAATTCCTATAACCACATTTTAATAGCTCAGTAACGACTTTGCAATTAGCTTGTGTAATGGCTCTGTGCAAGAGATTAGTACGTCCATGTCTCCTAGTATCATGTGGTGGAGGATCTTTAACAATTGGCTTGGACAGTTGCACTCCTAAACTTGGATCATTTACTTTACAATAATGTTCAATTAATGTTTCTAACCCATGCATTATATTTTGTTCGTCTATGGAGAAAAATGCATCTTCACCATGGCGTCGTATTTGGTAATGTACTACTTCATTGTTTTGTAACACACAAAGTACATAGTCTCCAGATGCAGAATTACTTTCACGTACTAAAAATAGACCATCTTCTTTATCCGCATGGTCTAATAGAATAATTTCAGCAGTGTCTCTGGATATTTTTCCATGGTACCAATTAATATCACCATTTTCACTATGATTGTTCATTGTTATTGTGATAATGGCTAACACCTAATAGACAAATAAAAATATTAATTTAGCTAAAAAAAGTATATATAAAAAAAAAAAAAAATACCAAAATGTATATAAATAATTAATATAAAAGTATTTGAATCATTAAGTATTTAATTATTTGAATGAAGAAATTTGGCAATTTTTTTTTTAATAAGATAAATAAATAAACATTTGACTTATGAAAAAATGTATTACCTTTCTCTAATTCACTAAAAAATTATAAGCTTTTGATTTTTTTAAATGGTAACTCTTAGTATCATTACTAGTTGTGATTTGTGCAACATTACAAAATTAATAAAATTGTACAGCTATTTATTAAATTCTAACTTCTAGATATTATTTATTTTTAATTATTTAGATGGATTCATATTAAAATAACATGATTAATTAAATAGACATATGGTATTCACTTGTGACATAATATTTATGATTAAAATACTTTTTAATAAATTAGTTAACTTAAATATAAATGTTTTTGTTAACTATAAAACCATCATAATAAGTTATAAGTTGGTATAAATATATATGCTTTCAAAAGCATAAAAATATTTCATTTCTAATGTTATAATTAATTTTATTACAATAATGTATGACAGTAACATAACATTTATTAAGATACTTTAAAAATAATAATAATTCTAATACCTAACTAATGTGATAAAATTAATAACTTTATCCTTGATTTCTGATAAAATAACTTTAAAAATTAGATAATAAATATTCGTGTATGCATAAAAGCTATGAATACTTTACATGACAAAATGATTAGGTTTTTTATCAAATTGTAAATAGTTTGGGTCTTTGACCCTTCAAAAAAATTACATAATAAAGTCCATATCTATTTACTTAATAGTCGTGTTGATTAAAATGTTTACTTTTTATCTTAGTTAGCAATTAATTCTTTAGTGAATTCTTTCTAAAAATATTTATTTATTTTAATAATTGACCAATGAAAAATGCAAATGAAATAAAATTAAATTTTAAATTTTAATTATTGTAACATATTAGATATACATAATATAAGTATTTTAAGTTATTTAAAAATATGGCTAAGTGATTAAAATATTTTTATTAAATAATATGTTCTATACATATATTATTAAACATCAATCATTGACTAAAAACAAATTATTCATTTCACAAGCACAGCATTACAATAATTATGATTTCTTAAATTTAAGATAGTAAGATACATTTAAATAAATACCTATAGGAATTATGTTTAAAATTAAGTACTTATTGATTTATTCATATAATTTTTGTATAAAAGTATTAGGTAAAACTGATTTTTTACCAAAAAAAAAACACTAAATTAAGGCTTATAATAAGATTTAAGATTTATGAGTACCTACTTCATATTGCTATCAATAATAAATAAACATATATCCAGCTATGTCATAAAATTTTTAAACCATAAGGGCACACATTAATTGAATTCACTCACCCACCAATTCATATTTTTAAAACAATATTTACATTTAAAAATGTATATAAAATTATTTTAAAAGAACAACTTAGTTTATAATTATGCTGATATTATCAAATCACAATACAGTACTTAGTAAAATTAATTTACTTACAACCACCAACCTACCCACCACAAAAGTTTAAGGGGCAATTGCTCGAAAAAAGAATCCTTTTGAAGCCAATGTACATATCAAGTAGTACTAGTTCAATATAAAAAAGTTATAACAAAGTTAAAACGAGTATCATACAAAAAAAAAAATGAATAATAACATCGCCACGCTTAAAATAAAAAGTAGTTAGCATGTTTTAAAAATTACTTTTTCATTGAAAAATGACACCAATGTTCAAAAGGGGTCACCAAAAAAAACGTCCCAAGCCGTACTCGAACGTAGAACCAATTGCTTTGAACTCAACAAGTGTCTTGAAATATTAACAATATCACAATGGCTTGATGAAGCTGCTAAATCAACACAAAACTGGTTTGTATTACTTAGGTAATGATTGGTTTCTATGAAAATATACTACTGAATGACTTACCTCGAATCATTTAATAATAGTTAAAAATGTTGAGCGGGGAAGGTTTTCGACCACGAATTCAGATGAGTGACTACTGACTACTGAGTATACCTATTGTATTTTATTCTTTTAAAATGAATAACCATGAAATGTGTTGGTCGATACAAAAAGAAAATGTTATGCCACAATGCATATTATTGTATACTATAAATGATATATTATATATGAATGTGTGTGCGTGTGTGAGTGTGTAAAACACACCACAATACGATTGAATGAATGAACAATAACTGAAGTCTAAATTAATTCAATTCATCTTCGGGTCTATAAAAAATTCTTATCTACGATAAAAGTAAATAAATAAATGAGATAAGCAGCGTTACAGTGCGTGCAAAAGCACAAAAAAATAAAAATTACATCGCACTTCTCGTGAGTACCTACAATAATGTGCGTTGTAAGCATGATTCTTTAATCGTGATTCGTGGTTGTAACTTTGTAAATTGACAAATTGTAAGCAATAAGCATAGACTAATAATTAGACTCTGTGTAATAGTACATTAGTACTTATTATAGTATAGAAGTCTATGCCGTTTATGGCAATAATTCCGTCTACCGAGAGAACGCACCTGGACTTGACGAAGATCGAATCTTCTTCAGTTCTGCGCATCCCTACGTTACATCCTGGCAAAGTGCAACTGCCACGTATAAGATTATATTTATGTAGGTATATATTATTGTAGACTCGACGTAGAGTTTCAAATGGGGAAGCACGAATCCGCATGTTCTCTCACTGGACAAAGTATACCTATACACCTTATAGTTAATTATTGATTGAATACCACCTACCTAGGTACCTATATTAATGTATACTCAATTAACATACCTAAATTATAATCGTCATTAGGTATGCCTGTAGAAGATGGCTGTAATTTTGTTGGCGCTGAGTTATGAGAGAAAAAAATACCAAGAGTAGAAACGCAATCCGAACGAATCCGATACAAAACGGCTGTTGTAAGCAGTAGGTAGCTCAAAATGCCTGATAAAAATTAGGAGTTGGTGCTGTTGGTAGGTAATCCTGCAGGGAACTCGTCGCTTCTGCTATTTTATATTTCCCTAATCCTCTAAGTCTAAAGTCTAATTTATTTTCTGCCATTTCGCTTATAGGTTATCGACCTGTTTGCTGTAAGTACTTACCGTCCGGCGTCCACTTAATTATGATCACATCGATTCATGACCATTTATACACACGTTCGTGGTGAATGTATAATTGTATAGTGTTGAGGGAACTCGATTGATGAATGTCCATTCAACGTTAGGTAGGTGTACCTATATTATGAGGGATAAAGAACAGTGTTTCATGTTCATACCTTTGAAAATTCGTTTTAAAATAAAAGACAATAATGAGATATTAAGACATCCATATTTCATAAAAGTGTTGACATTTTTTATGAATTAGCTAGAGAATATTTTCCAAAGCGAGTATACGAAAAAATAATATGTTTTACAAATGATACAAATCATTAGTTAAACGCATATGGGTTATAGATCACGCAGTCAAAATCTATCACGATCAATAGACGTTAAAATTAAAAAACTAATTTTAAGGATTATTATCTTGTGTATCCAAATTTAATTGTATAGGTACATCTGCTTTAACATCAAGTGTTCGAGTGTAATAATAATATCATCGTCATACTACCACAATTAAAGGTGGATAATAGATATATACTATCTTTAATCGTTCGTTCGTGCGTCATGTATTATTAAGAATTTTCGGCGTCGAAAAAAAAAGTGATTTACGGCATTGACTAAACCATATAGCTAGGTAGTGGTACCAGTTGTATACTACCTACACCGTAGGTTATAATATTAAAATACTCATACCTAGAATAGGTATGTGATTTAGTAGATATTATGTATGTTTCCGTCGTTGTCGTCGCGTCGCCATTGCAAGGTACATACGTATAAGTGCCGCTCGGTATAGTAGGTATATTAGTACTTGAGATTTTGTGAACATCGCGATGATTATAAATATTATACTATACTTATGCGCGTCGTATGTTCGATAAAAATATGACTATATTATACGTATATACGAGTGACTGTTTCCGGTGTTATTCACGGACGTTTATAATATTAAGTACCTTTATAATTGCTGTGCTTTATAACGACTGAAGAATGCAAATAAGTATTTAATCGATTTCCACTTCCTGTCGAGTGTCGACGATGGTCGATAAAGCTGAGACCACACAGAGATTACAAAAACTAAAACAAAAATGAAAGCAGTGTTCGTGTTTTTAAAAAGCAGTTGAGATTGTCCTGTTTGTGACGTGAAAACTTAGCTCAAATGTTTTTATCATGACATTTAAGGATTTACCGGGCCCGACAGTGGGTATTTGGAAGGTAGCTATAGCTATCTATATAATATAACTACTGAATAAAGGTAAATATTATACTGATGTTTATTATTATTTTTACTTATTTCTCGTGATTATGACTCTGCGAGTTTTCATTACAAATTAGTCTCATATCAATATATCATATCTCCCTGTAGAAGAGTGTTAAAATATTATATATTATAAACTGTTAAAGTATAAATAAATAAAAATATAAACTAGTATTAATATTTAATAGCATTCGGAAATGATGAATGAACAGTTTTGAAACGATTAATTAATGATTTATTTGAATATATAATTTAGACAAACCATTTTTTCCTCCTTTTTTGTAGTTGTCAGCCTTCACGACTATTATATTATATAGCGACAATAGCATTATTATACCATGCCATCATTAAATATCGCTGCTCGTCTCTAATATGATAATATTGTACCTGTGTTCCTATCAGTGGGTTCAAAATACTATTTGAATCCAATTACTGAACGAGGAAAAAAATAATACACCAACCGAGTAAAATAAGAGGAAAAATATTTTAATTAAACACTACGGAAAGTAAAGTACACCCAATAGAATCCGTAGATTTATTTTTATTTAGAGTTATTTAGTGTTAGTGTATTTTTATAGTTTTGCAAGTTATAATATATAAACTAATAGTTTTAAATACTGAGTAAGTTAACATTGACCGAATAAAGAACCTGACAAAATAAATTATATTATCATTTAACATTTAACTAAGGGAAACAAAGTAAGAGAAAAATGCAACGGTTAGAAATAAAACAAATATCAAGATTTCAATAATATTTAAAAGTTAAAATGTTAGTTGAATAGTTTTTATCAATGTCACACATTAAGTTTTATTTCTCGAAATTCTGTATTATGTCATCTATTAAAAAAGTAGAACAATAAGTTATTAAGTGATATAAAAGATAAACTACAGACTACAAAGTATAGTGACGGAAAAAAGAGGCTTCACAGCGGAGGCACTTCAACGCGAATATAAATTTAAGATAGCGATAGTAATAAAATAATAATAATACAATAAATGCATGGTAGTCGGTAGAGTAGCATTGATTTTAGAGTATACTAAAATCAACGATAGTAGTTGTTATAATTGTTATAAAGTAATAGTAATAATCATAACTGAAAGTGCAGTACCTATACATTTTATTATTATTGTTATTAAGTAAACAGGTCAAACGAGTCACAACACCACTGTTTTTTTAAATTTTTTTAGGATTTCCTGAAATAGTTGCAAATAATAGTTAGGTAGTGATAAGAAGATTAGGATGGTAAGTTATTAGTTTGTTATTGCATTTTTTAGTGGTGCTAATTCAGTGATAATGGGTATTTTTGTGTCAGAACGGAAGAGTATTATTGGAAATATAAAATGGGGCTTTTAAGATAATGCGAAAGATTTTGAATTGAAACCTTTGTATGCAATTGGTCGTTATAGTGTTTGAGATTTTGGCTGAGCCTCATACTCCTATGCCATAGGACTAAACTGGTCAAAGTAGTAGTTAAATAGGTAATTTGTTTTATATATTTTTTAAGTTAAGAACAGATAAAGAAAGCGGAGACGATCTTGATTGATAGAGTTTTGTTTTTTATGTGAACTGATCAAGTAAATTCACGATCGATATTGATACATTGAGTAATGGAAAGGGGTTGAATGTTAAGGAGGATGCCTGAAATACTCCCTGTCGAAAGGTGAAGGCACAATATGAATCTATTTGGTCTCGTTCATTTTTACTGCTCATTCTTTATACCAATCGAGGCTAGGTACTGTAAGTAGGATTGGAGCTACTGGCTAAAACAGCTTTATCGTTAGCAAATAGTCACCAATAAACAACGAGAATATGGGAATATGAAGATTGATCAGGTATATAAGTTGAAATAGAGGTATACTTGGATTAATTATTGAATAGTAATAGAAAAGGTGGACCCTACTTGTGCACCGAGAAGAATCTACTTTCTAAATAGAATTTTAGAATTAGATGATATATAGTGACTGGATAGAAGAAGCTTAAGTTTGAATAAACACCTGTATATATTTTAAGTCTACCAAAGGCCTAGGATTAGGTGTTAGTTTAGTATACAATTAATTTATTTATTATTTAAAAAAAACTTATATAATAATACAGTAAATTACGTATCAATATAAAAATTATATCAACACGAAAAAAAAAATCATTTTATAACTATAATTTATTTGTTTAGTTTTATTGGATCTCAGTTCGTAATTTCGGCATAAACGGCAAGTATGAATCAAGAACCGAAAAATTCGTTCAAGATTGAAATTGGCTTTAACCTCGTGACTCATGAGCTACACATACCTAATATATTTTTACGCCTTTGCCGACTCTATATCGATATTATGGTAATCCATAATGAACTGTTCTTGTTATTCTCAGCATCTAGAATTGGCAAACAGTTTCGTTTGTTTAGAACGTTGAATGGTACTGGAGTAAACCACCTATCAGTTTGTATATTTTTATATAAAATGTATTTTAATCTGTTTTGGACAATAATCTTTTCCACTTTTCCGTCCGTCGCTCAAAAAAAAAAAAAAAAAACATTTGGTTTCCACAAGATGGAAAAACTCGATGGAAAATTCAAATTTCGATACAAATATGATAATAAAATATATTTTAGAAGTTTGGGGATCAAGACACATTGACATGAAATATAAATTATTTAAAGGTGTAAGTACCTATAATGTATTACATTAACACATACATATTAGTTATCTTTAATTACAATCTATGTACAGACATTATTAAATAATTATTATGTCTATCAATACATAAATATATATTATTATTATATAATTTGAGTATAATGAGTGCTTATACCTATCCGTACCTATCGGCTATCCGTTTAATAACAATCATAATATAGCAGTCAGTGCAGGGTAT